AATTAACCTGTTAGTCTAACTAAACAGTAATTAGTTTAACTAAATCCTAATTAACCTAAGAGAGCATGACAGGTGGGTCCCATTGGACCCACGCGTCAGTTTGACCCAGTCAACCCCTGTTGACTGCTGATGTCAGCATGACGTCATGCTGACGTCATAAATCCATTTTCCGAATTAATTAAATAATTAAATAAATTCCAGAAATTAATAAAATCTTTAGAAAATCATATCTTTTAATCCGTAACTCGGATTAAAATATTTTCAACATGAAAGTTGCTCAGAACGATGAGACGATTCCGGATACGCAACCCATTCGTCCGCCACACACCCCTAACATATCAAACTCGCAACTTTCCCCCTCCGGCTCCTCTGCCCGAAAACACGGAACACCGGGAATACTTTCCCGGATGTTTTCCCCCTTCGCCGGCATCACCTCATACTGCGTTAGGACACAACTAGCTTCGCTCTTTATCATGTCTTGTGTTGTCATGCTTATGTTTGCACTGTATTTATTGTTTCTTCCCCCTCTTCTCTTCGGTAGACTACGAGACCGACACTGCTGCTGCCCAGTTCGACTACGGAGTTGACGACCCCTCCTTCTTGTCTGAGCAACCAGGCAAGCCCCCCCCTTGATCACCAGATATCGCCTATTCTCCTCTATACTGCTTGCATTAGAGTAGTGTAGCATGTTACTGCTTTCCGTTAATCCTATTCTGATGCATAGCCTGTCATTGCTGCTACAGTCATTGATACCTTACCCGCAATCCTAAATGCTTAGTATAGGATGCTAGTGTTCCATCAGTGGCCCTACACTCTTGTCCGTCTGCCATGCTATACTACTGGGCTGTGATCACTTCGGGAGGTGATCACGGGCATATACTATATACTTTACACTGTTACATTACCTGTGATACTGTTCGGAGTTGGGGGCTGAAGGGGCAGGTGGCTCCATCCCGGTAGAGGTGGGCCTGGGTTCCCGACGGCCCCCGACTGTTACTTTGTGGCGGAGCGATAGGGCAGGTTGAGACCACCTAGGAGACAGGTGGGCCTGGCCCTGTTCGGCGTTCGCGGATACTTAACACGCTTAACGAGATCTTGGTATTTGATCTGAGTTGGCTACGAGCCTATACGCACTAACCATCTACGCGGGAGTAGTTATGGGTATCCCGACGTCGTGGTATCAGCCGAAGCACTTCAGACGTCAGCGACGGAGCGGCGCGCGCCGGATTGGACTGGAACGCCTACTAGGCTAGGTCTGCTTCCGGCCGCCCTCGCAACGTGCAGGTGTGCTATGGGCGATGGGCCCAGACCCCTGTGTGCTTAGGTTTAGACCGGCGTGCTGGCCTCTCTGTTGTGCCTAGGTGGGGCTGCGACGTGTTGATCTTCCGCGGCCGGGCATGACCCAGGAAAGTGTGTCCGGCCAAATGGGATCAAGCGTGTTGGGTTATGTGGTGCACCCCTGCAGGGAAGTTAATCTATTCGAATAGCCGTGATCTTCGGTAACAGGACGACTTGGAGTTGTACCTTGACCTTATGACAACTAGAACCGGATACTTAATAAAACACACCCTTCCAAGTTCCACAGACAACCCGGTGATCGCTTTTCCGCAAGGCGACGAGGAGAGGATTGCCGGGTAGGATTATGCTATGCGATGCTACTGGAGATGCTACTTGGAGATGCTACTTGGAGGACTTCAATCTACTCTCTTCTACATGCTGCAAGACGGAGGCTGCCAGAAGCGTAGTCTTCGATAGGACTAGTTATCCCCCTCTTATTCTGGCATTCTGCAGTTCAGTCCACTGATATGGCCTCCTTACACATATACCCATGCATATGTAGTTTAGTTCCTTGCTTGCGAGTACTTTGGATGAGTACTCACGGTTGCTTTCTCCCCCCTTTTTTCCCCCTTTCCTTTCTTTCTGGTTGTCGCAACCAGATGCTGGAGTCCAGGAGCCAGACGCCATCGTCGACGACGACCCCTACTACACCGGAGGTGCCTACTACTACGTGCAGCCCGCTGACGATGTCCAGGAGTAGTTAGGAGGATCCCAGGCAGGAGGCCTGCGCCTCTTTCGATCTGTATCCCAGTTTGTGCTAGCCATCTTATGGCAACTTGTTTAACTTATGTCTGTACTCAGATATTGTTGCTTCCGCTGACTCGTCTATGATCGAGCACTTGTATTCGAGCCCTCGAGGCCCCTGGCTTGTATTATGATGCTTGTATGACTTATTTTATTTGTAGAGTTGTGTTGTGATATCTTCCCGTGAGTCCCTGATCTTGATCGTACACATTTGCGTGAATGATTAGTGTACGATTGAATCGGGGGCGTCACAGTGGATTATACAAAGACTCCTGAGTACTTGGTGTGCAAGATAAGAAGATGTAGCCTTGGAGGACTCTACCTGCATTGACGTACCCGACTAGGATCTGTAATCCTTGGACCCGATGGGTGTGCTATATAAGCTAGGGGCTAGGCTCATAGATACATTACATTACAACCCCTTGGTATTCACCTGTACTCTATCACCCCAACGCAATATACGAGAGCAGAACATAGGGTATTATCTCCTCTGTGAGAGCCCGGACCTGGGTAAAACCTAGCTTCCTATCACCATCCAACCCAGTCACCTAGCTGGGATACCTACAAAGGTATCTGTCGGATTGAGCTCCGACAATATGCAAACATCCTCAAGGCAGCTATGCATTTCTATATAGGAGAGAACAATAATTATCTACAACAATCCTTCCTCGGCATGGAAGTAAGGATCATGCACCTCCATAGATTAACTATGCACATAAAATAAGGTTGGCTCATCTGAATGCACACACCAAAAACTCCGTCATTGTAGCTTGGTTCAGATTTGAAGTAGTGCTTGTAGAGACTCTGTGCTTCAGCAACCCTATTAGAGGGAACAACTCTCCTGCCATATACCCTTGAAGTTTGGAACATGCTCCACTTAATTCTCCATTTCTTCTTGGATGCTCATCATCAACATCATATGAACATCTTCGTCGTCTGAATCAACTAAGTCATTGTATATGAATTCATGAAGCTCCTTGTTCTTGAATTCATCCTTATAGATGAGTAAAGTTCTTAAAAGACAACTTAGACACTTCGTCGAACACATAAAGTGTGAGGTGTATCTCTAGATGAATAGGATGTACCGGGGCGGCAAGGATGATCGGGAGTGGTTTGTGTCTGATGGTGAGATCTGTAGGTTGGGGATGACGACTGAGCTAGGGTGGCGATGGCGACGAACCTAGACAAGGAGCGGCATAGATGAGGCAGAAGAGAGGAACTAGGCATGCAAGGTGAGGGTGGGAGACGATTTGAAGAGATTTGGGACAGGTCCGACCTGTCAGATCCGACGCAGCAGATACGTTCAGTCTCGTCCGAACATTCCCATATTCAGTCCACACATGTGTTGGATATTAGGGGTACCGGACAATCGCAATGTTTAAGCTGGCTGACTTTGAAGTGCTCGATCAAATGGTATTTTCAGTCCGGGCGGTATGAGGGCTATCCACCCGAAACTTTCAGGAGAGAAATTCCTTTTTTCGTAAGAAAGAAAACTGGTCATCATGTGGAGATCCCTCCGGCTCTCCGCCCCCGCCCCCCCAACCCCCCTTGGATCCGAGGGCAACGCGCATCGCCATGTGACAGCTCGCTGGCGCGTGCATC